TACTATTGCGTAAAAAATCCTTGAGTTTTATGCAGGCACAGCTCCCACTGTTTTCTCCAAGGAAGCATTTTTTAATTTCCCTAATCATTTTTTCCTTAATTGAACACTACTCATGAGAAGGAGTATCAGAAAGAGTCAGTTAATCAAAATCAGTGGAAACATTGGCACAGGGTGCTCCTCCCTCCTCTTCCGTGATTTGAGCTTTGATGACTTTAATTTGGGAGTTGTTTGGCCATTTATGTGCTGGGTTTTGTATTGACTCTGTGCACTTTTTAATCAGTAATGTATTGATTATTCTTATGTAGAGATGTTTCTGAATCAAAATCCTGAGAAATCGTTACGGTCTCCCCAAATTCTCAGGAGATAAAGCTCTAAATTGAAATGTAGCTTTCATAAATGGATTTTATTTCGTGAAGGAATCAGACTTTGACAGAGTTAGCATTTGGTTAGACTGTGCACTTCAATCCCTGTTTCTTATTGCATTGATTTTACTATCAAAATCTACTTAAAAGAAATTTAAAGGCAGTATTAGTCACACCTCACTCCCTGGCACCCCCAATGCACTAGAAGGCCGCTTCCATTTTTGTAATAACAAATGCTTAAAGGGTGCTGGAGGCAGTCACCGGCACTGGTGGTACTCTGTGTGACCCCTACCCATGGTACCCGCTGAGATCGAAGGGATTTGCTAGAAGCTGAGAAAACCTCTTTATTAAGACTATACCATTGTCCACATGAACGTGAAAAGCAGGAAAAGCTGCAAGAATGCAGCACACGCCAAGATAAGCAACCTGCGTTGACACAAAGCCTTAGCTGGGTAACAGGATGAAATGACCTGTCCTACTGTGTGCAGAGCCAAGATCACCGATACCCATTTACGTTGGCATAGCCTTCATCTCTGACAAAGATTTTCCCTCGCAGGATTCACAGGGGTGTTCTGGGGCTTCCAGAGGCTGGATGGTGACATCCTTATCCCAAGGCAATTCTCCTTTGGGACCGGGAAGCCGGACCCAGCACTCAACATTCAATTTTGTCCACAGAAGAGGGCTTCACGTGTAAGGTTTCTACTTTGCTTTACCAATTCATCATAAATGCAGGGAACTTTTTTGAAGGTTATGTTATCGGGGATGTGATTTACTTCACCTGGGATTTGCCCTTTTTTCTACATATTCTTCAGTGTGCAAAAATACCTTTCACTTCAGAACTTACCGGGATTGAATTTAGTGGAATGGCTGGCAGAGAGAAAACATGAAAAAAGAATACATTGAAAGAATATGCATTTTAATTATAATTGAGAATATGTCTGGACAGGTAAGCAACAAATATTAGGGCACTATACAGCTTCATATAGACAGCACGGGTAACAGCAGCAGTGAATATACAACATCATGGGCCTTAATAGGAGCAAGCAACCAGGTACATACCCAGGGTCTCCAAACCTCAACAGAATATTGCATTTCCAAATGCAAATCATACCACAAAGCTGTACAACAGCTATTCGTCATCCTTTGCTGCACACACATTGCACCCAGCTCCCTGCTAACCTCAGGTGTACAGAGATATGTGTGTACACAGGACAACGACTGCTGTTATCAGATAATTCTGCTGCCCCTGAAGCAGCAGGGATTGGGGCTGGGAAAAGTAGAAAAAAGGTAGTCTTTGGCTCCTCTGCTTACTCATTTTTCCTTGTGCATCTTTTCTACCTTGCCGCTCTTTGGCAACATATTATTTCATTCCCATGTTTGTCTCCAGGTGTTTTTCAAAGTAGAAAAAATAAGGAAACTTCATTTACATGTACATTTTGAAGGCCTCGAAGTTCCTTTGAAGTTGGTCCTTCTTCTCTGCTTTTAGACACAAAAGGTAAAACTGGTGAAACAAAGCATGACATTTCTTCTGAAATTGATGTTTTGGCTTGTCCTTATTATATTTAACTAAATCATTTTTCATCACACTTCAAAAGACATGATTTTTTAAACAGCTACACAGGTCCTTATCAAAGGTGTTTCATGACCTCAGAGAAATATTTCCCTTGTCTCCCCAGGTCAGCCCTGAAGGGGCAGATGAGTTCACTTGTGTGGGGATCCAGGTTTCGGCATGCTGGTCCCTCAGCCCCACTAGCTGAGAACTGCCAGGGCTGTTTCTGTATGGCACTGCAAACCCCTCCACTATGGCAGGGCACTAGACATGGCCATTACCAGACTGTTGGGAACGTGACGGGTTCAGCAAAAAACAGGATTTGTTGCATAAGAAGTCTTCTCAAAAGTGCAGTAAGTATATTTAAATAAATAACAAATACATTACTACAGCACAGAAAAAAGTGCACCATTTTGTGAGTTCACACACATTAGTGATTTCTTTTTTTCAGGGAAGAAGAAATACAAATAAGTATCTGTACAAGAAATACACACATAGGAGAAAGGCAGTCAGCCCTAGTTTATTCCTTCAAAGATACTTCAGTGAAATTCTTTACAAATATTAGATATGAGAGCTACCAGGTGTCATGGTTTATAACCTCTTTAAGTGATAACGAGTGAAGAGCTGCAAGGGAAGATGAAATAGTTGGATGCCTGAGGTGGGCCAGAGTTTCTCCTGATCTCCATTTGGGCAGAGACACATCCTCCGACCTTGGCAGGAGACAGGTGAGGAATGGAAACAACTGTCCTGCTGTTTGTAGCTGTCTCTTTTGCATATGTTTATTTTCACCTCTGCTCACTTTTAAAGGTGTTTGCTAAAGTGGAGGCCTCTTTATGGGCCCTACAAAAGCACTGTGTTGTTAGACCACCTTATCCAGAAACGTGTTCACTCCCTAAGGACAGTGCCTCGCTGCCCTCCAGTGGCAGGAGCCTCCAGAACAGCTTTGCATTTTCCCATTGCTTTTAGTCCTTTAAACTATGTTAGACCCAGATCTTTATGGAAATTATAACACTAATTTTCCATGAAAATTAAGTGTTTAAATGCCTTTGGTGAGCTTACTTTTGTTTGGAAATGCTGGAGAACTTGCCCGGTCAGAGCTGCAGAGCAAGATGACTTCATGGAGAACCTGCCCCTTAGCAGAAGGTGTCCGGTGGAGAGTATGTCACATATACAAACACGCATACCTCTGTCTGTGTATGCACACACATATCCCATACTTTATGTGTGCTATTTCCCCAATATTCAGATGCTAGATTTCACAATACAAAATACACACTGAAATTCATATGTAGTTAGAAAAAGGAGTTCCAGGGAGGGGTAGTTTTGCCAGTGCAACAAATCTTCACTCCGTGAAGAAAGATTAACACCCAACGTCCAGCATAAAACTCTTTCACTACAGACAAACGCTGTTTGTTTCCTATGAGGGAATTTTGGTAGATTTCTTTAAGAAGATGTTCCGGGAAACAGCTTTGCTATTCCAAGACCACAAAGGTCAGCCTTACTGTCATCACTGCTGGTTCCTGCCACACGGGATTAGTCTGCTTGCTTAGCTTGGACTGAAGTCTTACCACCTCCTTTCTAATGGCGTCTTCAATGTCCGTGACGGAAGCTGCAATGTTTAATGTGGAGGCCAGTCATTCTTTGTCACCTATCACTAGAGATCAGCTGTACAAATGTTCTGCCCCTGCTAGCATTTGCACCTACCACCATTACTTCTTAGATATGGTGTAGGTGAGATCCAGCCTCACTAGGCAAGAGCTGGGTAGTGGAGTCCTCAGCCTTCCGCATGTTTGCTGGGACTAACGCGTTCTTTGGGACCTGTTTTATAAAAGAGACTGAGGGATGCTGAAAAAGCAGATCTTGACGCTTCTTCATATTCAAGATATTTGCATTGGGGATGTTGCATAAGCCATGTTCCCCATACTTTCCTATCCCTACATCGAGGCTCCAAATAGAGGTGCATTGAAATGCCACTGATTAGAGCTTAGTTTATAAATAGATTAGATGCCTACAACTCAGTAATGTGAATTATGTCCCCACTTTCCATAACATCCATCCTCCTGCTGCATGGGATTTCTTGGACAAGTAGCTTTACTGCTGAGCACACTGTTTGGCTGAGTCACCAGACCAACACATTAGCTATTTCTACAGGACTCTACACTTCCTAGAGAGAACATTATTGAAAGTCCAGCAACAGCCAAAGAAATACTTCCATTATAAGATGCATATGAAGTGCACTGAAATGGCACATGCATATCAGACTTCTGTGCCTTCTACATGACATTGTTCAGATCCAAATTTTTAAATCTAGAGCACTTAGATCTGGTCATGCCCCTCTGTTTTTACATAGATTCCTTGACTTCCACAGTTTTAGCTTAATTTAGCACCCTCTGGCCCTGTCTTGCCCCATTTTCTTGGTTGCTGTAGTTTAGCCCTACTTATTTACCCCCAAAACCAGTTCTTCTTACCCAATCACGCGTTGGCCATATCTCTTACAGGCATTTTATTGCTCTGTAGGCTGCAAATGAGAGAGAGAGATAACTGCAGATCTGAAACATGCTGGAGGGATTTAGTCCCAGGTTAAAGAGGAGTCAGAAAAATATGAAAAAGCATAGAAACTGCTTCTTACAGGACTAATCTGTAGCAGACAGAGAGAATTTGTTTGAGACTTTTCTGACATTTTTATGATGCTAATCTTCTTTTGGCAAAATTCTCACAACAATTTAATCCAGTTTAGTATGGTTGTAAGTTGGAAACCGACTTAACTGGTAGTATAAGAATCCTTATCAAACAGCCTAATTTCCAAAAGTAAATCACTGCTTCCTGGAACAACCACATCATCAACACACGGCCAAAAAGATGCCTGGGGAGTGTTTGGGAAGATCTCGGTAGCCAGTCCGGAACAGCGCTGTGATCTGGATCTACTTATCCGGATGTCTGGATGTACCCTGTGAAATGAAAATACTCAGTAAATCACTTCTTTGGCATTGATCTGGAAGTTCAGGAAGAAAGATCAAATTGCACAGCAAACACCTTTGGTGTAGACCAGAACTCATTTAGTATAAATTCTGAAATTGCATTGGCTTCGAACAGACAACCGCAATGAAAATGGACCTTCAAGTGAGTCTCACTTGGTTGCTTCTGTTAAGTGCTACTCTTCTACCTGAACCAGGTACTGCATCTAAAATTTTTTCATGCTTGCAGGGAAATGTTACAGACAGAATTAATTACTAATACAGACTGGCTTGCTGGGAAGTGGTGGCAAAGACTGTCCTAGAATATTGCTGACAAGCTTTGTACCATAAAATTGATGGTTTAATTTGTTTTCTAATTCAAAGATTCAGATCAAATCCATAGGTTATATTTCAAAATATAACCTATGAATGAAGGTTGTAGGCTGAAGAAGGCTGAAGAATATTTTCTTTGTTTCTCTTCTGTGAGGGGAATAGTTTGGGGAAGTTGTTCTCTCAATGTTCTTCTCCTCATATTCTAGTTTTGAATATAAATTCTTCTATACTGTACATTTGAAAATTTAGAGAAAGAGAAAAGGAATACAGGGCAGCCTGCAAGACCTAGGTGAAAATATACTTTACTGCGTGCCATGTTCCTTCAAACTTCAAACAACAATAACCTCAAACCTTCCTTATAATCTTGCTAGTTTGAATGAGAGACTTTGATCTTTAATTATCAGTGTGGGCACCATGAATAAAGTTTTGTCAATCCCTTACAAAAAGAGATAATTTCATAGAGCGTAGATTAAGAGGTTGGCTATATTGTATTTTTTATAAGACAAGAGCAAAGGCAAATGGTCCACAGCCTCCCCTGCTATTGTGGTAATCACATATGGCAAAGGTAAGTAACACTTTCAACCGCCCCAGTGAAATGTGGCAGAGCTCAGCTCCCAGAAGCCTATGTCTTCACTGGACGTGAAGGATGTACACGAGGATTTCTGGGGTCAGATTCATTTGCTCTTTGTGCTGCCATGAAATAGGGTCCTCTACAGTCATCTTCCACTGAACTATGAGGAAATGAGCACGTCCATCCAGACACAGGGAGGAACCACAGGATTGCTTTGAAAACACATCACATACCAACACTTACTGTATTTAACTCTGTATCAACACATATTGGGTACCATCTCACAGCAAAACATAAAACATACCTAGAATTGTGATATGTTACATCAATGCTAATATGTTTTCTTATCTGCCACAGCAAGTGGTATATGGTGGAACTCATCAGGAGGCTCAGCAACTGGAGGTCGAAACTCACTATGGAAGAAATTTTCAAAATGGATAAAAGACATATTTGTACCCAAAGGTAGGAGAGTGAGACGTGTTCTTGAATATGAACATACCGGGCACACCTGTAGAGTTACATGACCCAGCTCTGGGTGAGCTGGTTATCTCACCAGCACAGCCAATGACAACCTACCATGATAGATCAGGTCCTGTACACGGCACAGCCATATAAACAGGGCTGAATTAACCTCACTGATTGGGGCTCCACTGTTCAGCTCCCTGCTCTGTACTGCTTTGTGCACTGCAAGCGTTCCCCCGTAAGGCCTGGGTACTGGGCACACAGAAACACTGGGCAGCCCATCCCTGCACAGATGGGGATGCAAGCTTAGATGTAAGAAGTTTAGATATCCTGGGAATAAACAAATTGAGATGTTTACCTGTCAACTTTTGCTTTAGTTTCAGAAGATCCACAACTGCGACTGGTATCTGGAGGGGACCGATGCTCCGGGAGGGTTGAAGTTTACCATGAAGGCAAATGGGGGACAGTCTGTGATGATCACTTCAGTATGAACAGTGGCAGTGTTGTATGCAGACAACTTGGTTGTGGTCAAGTTGTTTCTGTCTTGGGAAGGTCTTACTTTGGCCCTGGCAGAGAAGACATCCACCTGGATGATGTGCGGTGTAGAGGAACTGAATCTTACCTTTGGGACTGTCAGCATGCTGGCTGGAACACACATAACTGTGGACACCATGAGGATGTCAGCGTCATCTGTTCAGGTAAAAAAAAAAATTATCCGCTCTTAAAAATCTCTTTGGATTTTCCTGTTGACCATAAATGCAAGAAGCATCAGAGTAGAGCTTGGAAATCAGACTAGAGCTGAACTATGTGCATGTGGAGGCTTCTTGTATTTAGGCTGGTCTGCGTGATCGAGGAACAAAAGGATGTCCTAGACAAAATACCAAGATTGGTAGCAGCAAGCACTGAGTATGAAAATGGTGAAAAGAAGGTAGTTCAGGACTACTTTAGTCAACATCTGTTTACAGGCCATTCCCAAGAAAGGCAACCAGTTGAGAGGAGACAGAAGCCCACCCAGATGTAAACCAGGCATGTCTGAATTGAAAATAGAAATTAATACTCTTGTCATAAACATAACTGAAATCAAAGATTGCATAGCTAGAAGCAGCCTATTGTGAAGCAATATAAATAACTGCACAATAAAAGTAAATTTTTGCTTTTTTTCCATGTTCACAGGTGTGACACGCTCCACGGTTGCACCGACAGGTAAGGCAGGGCTTTTGAGACGTAAGTCCATTAGCTCTTCACAGTCTCCCCAAATGCTCAGAGACTAATTTTTAACTCAAAAATTGTGTGATTACAGCTCCTTGGCAGACAGTATTCTAGAAAGGTACTTGCTCTGAATTACTAGTTATTGCTCCAAATTACTGTTTATTCATCCACTGTAACATTATTTCTGTTCTTTGGATTGCTCATAGGAACTGAATTTGCCGCTCATCTGCTACTAATTAGAAAAACATAAGGCGAGTCTTAACACTCCAGCTCTAAGTTTCTGACTTCGGGTTTTTTTACTGTTCCTGAAATAATCGTAACACCCTGGAAACCTTAAAGTACGGACGTTACTCAGGTTTCCTGGGGTTTTTACGTGTTGAGTTAATTACTAATGCTCTTCATAATACACAGCCACAGAGGAGTGGGCGCTAAAATGCAGTTTTTTATCATATGTAGCCCAGAATTGAACAGGTGGTTCCCAAAATCATTTCTTCTCAAGGCTTGAACCTGCAAAAACACATTGTAGTAGTCCTGAACTGTTGCTGCATACTCTGCGCATCTATTTCTGCACTGATGGCACCACTGGCAATTATCTCTGAAGTTCATTTAGAACTGCCATTAATTGACAGAAATGTCACTCACACTACCAGAAGTTAAGGTCTGGTGCATTAACCCCGTGCTGCACAAAACCTGATGTTTAAATTATTTCACCAGTTCTCATGACCATTCTTACAGTTCTCTAATAATTTATTTCCTCTAACTTCCAGCATCCTCAAAGAAGCACCAAACTTCCATTTCTGCATCAACATTTTCCACAGACAGCACTGTTGTGACATCTACCACAGAACCCCTGACTTCTGCTGGCAAAGGCAAGGGAAAAAACAAACTGCAAATGTCATGTGCGGAAATTTTGAGTAACATATGCAATTTGTTTAGAACAGACAGGAGGAACACCGGGAATTCAGTAAAAATATTTAATAACTCTGCATGTAATTAGCCTTGGAAGAGCCAATGGCCAACACCGTCTTCATTTTCATAGGAAAATGTGGTTGGAGGTAAAATGGGCATGTGATAAAGTCTACCTGCATATACAGTTATCAAGACTGCATGTATGTATGGTGAGATCTTTACAATTGGTTCATCTGAGGCACTCTTACCTGGATATTTTCTTCACTTTCAATTCTTTTAATAATCTTGCTTAATTTTTCCTGGTTCTTAAGTTAGTGCAAAGGTAGAATGGAAATAAGGTGTGTTTATACCCTGCTGAGAGGTGCACCAGTTGCATCAGTCTCCCAAGTTCACTTATAATTACTAATGGGAAGATGTTCTTCTGAGCCACATTAGCAAAGTTAAGGTCTAAGGAGCTGACTTTCTTTTCCATGAAGCCTGAAGTATTAATGATTTCACAGATACTTGAAATGTCTTTTCTTTTACATCGTGGTGTTCCTGTTTAATAACATATTTCTCCATCCCCTGGCCACCTCCACAGATTCCTCCTCTGCACCCAGCTCAAGCCCAGCAGGGACTGAGACACCGTCTGCTCCAGAGACCTTGACAACCCTCAAGGAAGGTGAGGCACACTTGCGTGCTGAAAGTCACTTCCAAAGCACAAGACAAATCTTATTCTTTGTTTCCCCTAACAATGGCCACTTTGCATCTTTCCAAATGACTATTGCATCTCTAGTAGTAAAAGAATGCAGTCAGAAATATCTACTATCTTTATTACTACATATTAAATGAAGGTCTTTTTTTTCAGCAAAAATAAAGGGCTATGCATTGACTCACTGTCCTGCAAAGCCCAAATCTACTTACTTTCAAGGTTTCAGTTCACATGTTCACTCCCAATTGATGCCAGTCTCTCTTCTTTCCTCAACTTTCTCTTGGCCTCAGTTACATCTTCTGTGTACACTATTGTCACAGAGGAAAATGCCACATCAGCTCCCGAAATCCCAACCACAGTTTATAAAGGTAAGAACAGCCATTTTGCAAGTGCTATTTAAAACAAATATTCTGTCAACTTGGGTTTTTAAGATGGATTAAGATGTGACCATGTAAATCTGTAAAATATTCATAGCAGACAACTACAAATGAAACACCTCTGTGAAGGAACAACCCCCTTACAACACCTTCACTTCAAAAATATCGGACTGTCAGGACATATCAGGAATATATGCATTTAATGATTAATACCTCTGAGCTTCTACCTATAAATACTACACTTACAATTTTGTAAAGCAAAAGTGTCCAGACCATTGTGATTTCGTGTGTCCAAGACTCATAAAAACTCAGAAACATTAAGGAGCACAGCCAGGCATTTGCGCTCGTCTCCCTCGGTTGGACCTCTGCCTCTCCATTTATTTAGCAGACTGATAACATCGTTTTTTATTCAAGCTTGAGACTTAAAGCAAGGCACAAGCTCCTCAAATCACACTTGTGCTTTTAATTGCTACTTGCAACCATTTAATTTCTTATCCTCATAGCCTCCTTTGGTAGCACAGGTGCCGCCCTTGCTTCCACTGCCATCACAGAGGAAAGCAGGACATCAGAAATTCTCACTATGCTGCAGACAGGTAAAGGGCATTTGCACAACACGCAGCATGTTAGAAAAACGTGGTTATAAGTTTTGGTTAGGAGGGGACATCAGTGGAGATGCCAAGAAACGTTGTAAAATCACCATCTCTCAGTGCAGCTAGTGCTTGTCTATGAATTTCATCTGCTTGGTTGCCAACCTGCTGGCCTTCTGGCAGCATGGGCAGGCTACCACTAACGCTTCTACCACTACTCCAATCAGGAGCCGCAAATGCTATATGCAATGCCTGCTCCAAGGGAAGCTGAATGGTGTGGAATTTGAACCACAGAATCTGAAGGAAATCATTATTTTTGGTTTTATTTTTATCTCTTTAAGAAGCATGACTCAGGAAAAAGCCACCCAGTCTATGTTTCTCACCATTTGTAAACATTACCTATCTGGATTCTAAACAATTTATAAGCCTCCAGGCTTAGGCTTTCTTATCAAGCCAGTCCAGGGTGAACAGCAGGTCCTATACTCCCTCTCGAGGATTTCTCAGCTCAGATTCAGTCTCTCCCAACCTGTGGCCCAGGATGTTGCGGGCTCAGCCCAGAGAGCTGGGGGTGAGAGCTGGCTCTCCCTCCAGCCTCCCTCCCCTCTTTGACACGGCTCCCACCTGCTAATGGTGATGCTCCATAGGGTGAGGAAATCCGGCAGAGAATTGCAGGAAAAACAGATGCCGTATTTCAGTGTCAGTCCTGATAGCTTCTCCCTCCTTTCTCCAATGACTACTATACCTCTGGGAGAAAGACTTCCAGTCAGATAAGCCAGGAATAGCTGTAATAAACATTTCCCTCTATACAGCCAGAATAGCCTTTGTTATTTCACTTTTTGAACTTCTTAATAAAGCTGACAAAGCATGCCCTGTTGCAGTGTTGGGAAACTATATACCAATAAATGTTACTGCCAAATTACAACACTCATTTCTATTTTTGCTCCTCACACTCCTTTTGCTTTTCTCACTTTCGGTGAGAGAAGTCTGAAACTTTTTTGATGCTTGTAATGCAAAGCATTAAGATGAAGATGTATTTCTCAGCCATCAGTGGATGTGGACAGACTCCCTTTTCCACGAAGCCTGAAGGCAATTAAATTCATCAAAAGCTGATTTCAGTCATTCAGCCTTACCTGAATGCTCTCTCCCTCTCGTTCTTCCTTCTTCTCGCAGCCTCTGAAAATACTGCAGAATCATCCATTTCACCCACCCCACTTACAGGAGACGGTGGTACCTCAGCTCCAGAAATCCCTTCCACAGCTGTTGAAGGTAAGAACAGACACTATGCCATAAAATCTAATGATAATAGTGTTTAAGTTTGTTTAAAATAGATTACATTGGTAGGATTACAATAACTGTATGAAGTTTAAGATTGGTCAACTGCTAATTAATCATCTCAGTGAAGAAAGAATCCAGCTTCTAAAACCTTCATTTCTGAAATGTTGGGCTGTCAAAGTTTGGGAGGTATGTAATTATGAACAATTTGGGGCTTTAAGCTGCTTGTACTTTTTGCATAATTTAGGCATCAACAAAAGTGCCCAAATATCAGTGCTTTTTTCTGGGCAAAAGTGCATACTTTACAGTGGAGACCATCAATGATTAAATCAGATTGTGACACTTCCACCTTAAAGATTCAATAATCTTTGACAGTTCTTTCCCAATCTCCAAAGATGGAGATGCCACCACCTGACACAGTGCAGAAGCTGGTTCTCTATACTTTCCCACTCATCCCTGTTGGACTCTCTCACCAAGGAGACAGATGTTTCTCTCCAATAATGTATTTCCTCAACTCTTTCACAGTCCCTTCAACACTCCTGTGCTCCTCCTTTGCATCCACTTCAATAAATGAAGAGACTGAGGCAGTATCTACACCAGGAATCCTAAGCACAGCTTACAAAGTCAAAGTGTTAGTTGCAAAATCGATTTTGAGTCTAAATGAGCTAAGGGAAAGCCATACCGTATGGAAAATGTGTGCAATGAAGATTTAGTAAAGAGGGCTAAGAACACATTGCTTCATTCTCCAGTAGCTAAGAAGCTTAAAAATCCAAATTTTAAATATTTATTTTTCATGGTATTATGCAGTGATAGAGACTCAGGTAGAAGTACAAGGGGTAAGTCCATGTTTGTTCTCTGAAACAAAGCTTCCTGTATTTTCACACTTTTCTAGCAAAATGACAATTCCAGATCATTTTAACCAAAAATTTAATCCTGGTTCATATTCATGTTTGGTCATTATTGTTCATTGTTCCTATTGGTTTTTTTCCTCAAAGCTTCAACAGATTATTATGCCACAGAAACAGATGACTTGATCACATCTGCCCCAGTCACAGACAGTACTGAGCCATTAACAACTCGAGCATCACTATCTTTGCTGAACGAAGGTAGGAAATAGTCAGATACAACCTGTGTGCCTTGCATTGTTTAGGAGCAAAAATGTCGCTGTCCTGCATCATCACACAAGGCTCCATTTGGGGCTCAGAAAGTCTCTGAGCTGCAGGTGGTGGCTAGGAGACGAACCTGAGCATACCTTCTATGCTTGTCCTGTTCATATACTCCTCCTCAGCACCTCTTAGTGGTCCCCATTGGGGAGGAGAAATTAACTTATACAGAGCTTTGGTCCAGCCCTTCTTCAGTGCTGATCATGTTGCAGTGTGTGTGCATACGTCCCACCTTTTCTCCATTCTCTTTGCTGGGGCAACTCTTATTCTGGCATCTATTTTGTAGGATGCTTTGCAAGTTTTTAATGAATGAGCTGTTTTAATGAATCTATGAAATAATTTCTTAAGTATTAAAAAATCTTAAAACCAGAATTTCACTAGACAGGGCCATTTTGCGTCAGCCATCCGCTGAGCTGGGACCTTCCTATCCACCACATGCTGTCCTACGTCCTCTTCTAATGAAGCAGAAATTGATAGCACCAGTAGGCTTTAAATTCCTATGCAAATCTCCACCAGGGGCGATGACTATGTGTACTTTGCCTCTGAACTTGACAGATATTTTCAAGACACACAAACAAATGCGTTGGACACTATCTTCAAAGTTCTTTTATTGATGAACATTTTCTGTAGTGCCTACAGGTGCTTTTTTAGCTCTCTGTAGACTCCAGGGAGCAGAGGAATTGGTGGCCATCCTCTTTAGAGCCCTCTTCAGAATAGTGAAAGATACTTCCCACATAAACTAAATTCAGCTTTTTAAACCTTTCCTCTGAGCTCATGATTTTCAAGCCTATTATATTCTTGTTTCATCCATCCAAACTCTCCCCATTATCTCTCTCTCTCTTAAACGTGCAATCACCGACTGAGCAGTTGAGGACTCTAGCGCCAAGGAGAATAAGTAGCTTCCGTGTATCACTCTGTGAAGAAGGCTGAGACTGGACTGGCTCACTGTAGCATTAACATTACCACCTCCCAGTTTTTGCATGGTCCTTCTGTGCCAGCTGAAAGGATGATTTTGCCTTTGTGCATTAGTTTTCTCTTTCCAATGAGCAGCCCAGCCCACCTGCCTTTACTGAATTTCAGCTTGCTGATTTTTGACATTTATTCAGTTTATGAAGGTCATTTTGAATTCTCATCGTGTCCTCCAGAGAGCGCACAGAACTTGCCTTTCCTTCTGCCACTCTATCTGTACTGTTCCAGTTTCAGTGGCAAGGGCTGAGGATCTCATTACAGTCGGGTGGCTGTGGCTGGCTGTTTAACACCCATACCATCTGTTAGTCCAAGATGCTGCGTAACATGATAAACAATTACCAAGGCAACTGATAACTCCTCTCTTTACAACCTAACACTGCTTGCCTTCTACAGCCTTATCTATGCTGTCAGAAGTTCGGAGCTGTGACTCAACGCCAGTGGTAGCAGCACTAGAAAATGTAATACAGATTTGCTTACTGCTCCACCCATTAACCTAATTTTGAACAATATTTTCATGTTCAAGATCTAGGATCTATCCACCCTAATTTCTACAAATGAACAGACAAATCTTCAGCACAATGAAGAAGAAATTTCAGTCAGTGTTTTTCTACATTTTTCCTGCCAGTCATTTCACTTTCAAAAGGATAGAAATGAAAACATTCCTACTTTGAAGAATATTTTACAGAGCTTTGATCAGATTTTGCTGCTTGCCTTATTTATTCAGACTCCCCTCTATTCCAGCTGAATGAAAGAAGTTTGCACTTCTTTGCACACACCAGTGAAACTGAGAAATGAATGTGGTCCCTCAGGACTTACTTTTATTTGCTTGGCTTTCAGAAATTGAACATGAATTTCTTAAATGACTGATCTGTTGACTATTACGCAGGCTTAAGGAACCTAATACATGGTGTATATATGGTTTCCTAAGAATTACTATGGAACTACGTGCTTGCAATTATTAAGTGCTTTGCCTATGCCTACTCAACCAAGTATTTGAGCAAACAATTTCATCTTATTTATGCATACTGTGTGTAATAGGGATGCTGTTCAGTGGTTAAAGGGAAAAAAAGGCTCCTCTATAGCTCTAACTAATAATCTCATTACTTTCATTTGTATATACTGCAGGTAAACTGTTGTTTGTGTTAAAGTCTCAGGAAAACTAAGTGCTCACTGATTCCTTTGATGATATTCTACACTTAACTAAGCACAAAGCATTGACTTTGAAGAGATACAGATATCGATTGTTTTCTTTTATTGATTTGCTGAAAGTAAAAAGTTGCCTTTCAGCTCTCTGTAGACACCCCCACAAGAATACATTAAAGATTCTTGAGATTGTTACTTAGTTCTTTATTTTCTGAAAAAGTGCCCCCAAAAATTTTAGACTGATGTTCATATTTCAGATTAATGAAATACTTCATTTACTTAGAAACTTTAACAGGAAAGATGTCTCCCTCCCAATAAAGCCATTTTTAATATCAGCTGAATCACAACAAATTTATTTCTGCCTGTCATATAAGTCAAGATCTGGATCTGGTTATAGAATTTTTAATCTGCCTCTTTCTCACTATTCCCACCTGGACTTAGATAGCTAATGTAGTCTATGATTCTATGATTCTATGATTCTATGATTCTATGATAGTTCTTAAACTTTTTACTTAACACGTTTCACCGCCGCTGGTGAATACTCAATGCCTGGATCAACGGGTTATCTTTTGTCTTGTTTATCTTTTTTTCTCCTTGAAATCATATTTGGTAGTCTTGCAGAAGTTTAGACCTAGATCTTGGGAAGTGAGCCAAGCACATTGCTGCTGGCATTTCTTTACAGCCAACTTTTGCAGAAGTAAATGATAAGCATGGTACTCAGATAGAAGGAGCTTTGATCATGGTCAGCGAAAAGGAATTAAGGAGAAAGAGAGTCCTAGGAAGCATGGCCCTCATTCTGAATGGATGTGCATTAGTTGGTTACAAATGGCTGCCAGGTGACAGCAAAATGTCCCAAAATGAAAACCTCATAATTACTGACCCACCGAGGAGTAAGACAGGTGTGTATACTTGGTACAGTTTATGATGGCTACAAACTAGGAGGAACTCAATTACGTTGTCGGCGGTGTCTCTGATTTCTTCCTCTGAAAGAAAAATACACTCCAGGCCCATAAAACTAATTTAGAACTTCAGATCTCTAAAATACTTTCCCTTTGAAAGTGAGATAAATGCGTGTAGTATTCAGCTTTCAGAAATGAGCCTGGTCTGTAGAAATAGCTCTGCTACTATTCTGGGGAAATGATGCTGTGCCAACCATCTGTTACACCAGAGGGTTAGCAAGGATGGGAAAAGAAGCTGAACCAGGCATTATTTAAAGGAAGAAAAAAAAACCCAAAACCATATCCCTTAGATTACAAGGTATCCCTGGAAAAGATTGGCTCTGGGTATTTGTGTTTGTCCTTTAGACAGCACTACAGTATAGATGAGAATGATGGTAAAGAAAAGGTAGAAAACCTTCCCTTTGTAGCACAAAGTGGGGAGAGGTGGTAGCTAGCTGCGCGGGTGAGGAACATTTTCGCCAGAGATCAGCACATTGTGGAAGAGGATTATGTCCGTGCCCATTGGGTATTGCATGTAGAAAGATGGGTTCGAGCATTTATAATATCTATCCTACAACAGCACTGAAATTCAGGGGAGGATCCTTTGTCAGAGCAGACTACGGTGCAGGCTACCTGCTCCTGTCTTCACTGGGGTGGTACTTGGCCTGAAGACAGGCTGTGCCACCGCCTCAGATAAACACCACTGATGCACAACGCAGGCTCTTTCTCCACAGCAGATACCTCCGCTCTGTCCCTGCGACTGGCAGACGGTGACGGCAGGTGCTCGGGCCGCGTTGAACTCTATCACAACGGCAGCTGGGGAACGGTCTGCGACGACGCCTGGGAACTGGCGGACGCCACAGTGGTGTGCAGGAGGCTGGGGTGCGGAGAAGCCCTGCTAGCTGTGTCTGAAGCCCAGTTCGGTCCAGGCTCTGGGAACATCCTCCTCGACGATGTGCAGTGCAGAGGGGATGAAGACAACCTGTGGCAGTGCTCCCACAGAGGGATCGCTGTCCATAACTGCCGACATAAAGAGGATGCCAGTGTCATTTGTGCAGGTACGCTAGCACATATCTCATAAACTATCGCTTCGTGAGCAATGCAAGCTTGCCTGCAGCTAAGATTTTGATGCACAACTTGTTTCCATTAGTGGAATTATTTCAGGCATGAAACCAAGACCTATGAGAATTGCTGTGCTTTACCGCATTTTTTTCTTTTTGTTAACTCAGGGAGTTTATTCACACAGGTTTCTCTTTTCATTTTTTATTTTAATTCTCAAATCCTTTGGCTACCTGGAATATCATTGTCAATCTTATCTGGTGCCATTTGCTAGTCTATTACCTGACTGCTTTATGCATTACTATTTGAATCATAATTTTACATCATCACTATTATATTTCAGTCCTCCTAGTCCTGATTTCCCATAAATTATGAACTATGACTAGGAAATCAAATTTCCTTTTCTTGTATTTAGTAGGAAATTATTTTTAGTAACTTCTTTTAGGATTTTTCCAAATCAGTTGCCAGTTTTCCAGCAATTCTGTATTCTGACTGGAAACGTGTGTGCAGTTGGAGAGCCCGAGTCACTGCAGCCCCTGTGCAGCCGGTGCCATGGCAAGTGGTGGTCCATGGACAAAGCTCATCCACGTGGCGGGCACACCACGAGCCTGAAATGACTGAGGTGAAATGTAACTGGCTGAAAGGGGTTGTGGATGAGACCTGGCACAAAGAATGCTGGTTTACAGCTTATCCTGGGGATACCTTTCCCTGGGGAAAAATCAAAGCAAATTTTTAACAGAGTTAGGTTTTTTAGCAAAGACCTCAAGTGGAGTTAAACACGTGACCCCAGCAGACATGTGTCTCTCTGGTGAGTATGTATGTCCCACACCTAAAACTATTAAAGGTTACACCTGCAAGGTAACTGCAACCGTTAACACCTGACATATAAAAAAAACGGGTTTGCAGCCTTCTCCCTTTTGGTGATGAAGCTTCCAGAGATGAATGGGTTGCTCTATATCACTACTGCTTTCTTTTTTTCCACCTCGTAACTGAAGAATGTTATTAAGCATCCTCTGTAGTAAAACTAGAAATTCAGTTTTCCGTTTCCTTTCCTAGAGCCAGTTACTCCCCCGGTCACAACGGAGCCCATTCCAGCTGGTGAGTTCTCCCTAGATGGGTCTTGCAAAGTTTCACAGCTGATCTATTTTACATAGTAACTTAAGCCCTGGTAGGAAGGCAAAAAATTTATAGGTAAAAATTTCAAAGCAAGTAAATGTGTGTAAGATGAGTTTCTGAGATACTTGAGGCTTATCTAAGAGTTTTGCTGCTAAAGAATACTGGTATCAATTGGAATGGTTATGTTAGCTACGGACATATACATAGAAGCCTGAAAGAGAAAAAAAACTTTATATTTACTCCCACATGTATATAGCACACTATGAGAGTACGGATTTATGATAGCTGATGAACTGACACAATGTGGCTTGTAACAGTAAGATTAATTTCCTGGTTTTGCCACTTTCTGTGCAACGCAACAAAGTTGGCTTTTGCTATTTGATAAATGCACCTGGAAAGCCCATTTCTGAGGCTGCTGAGTGCCCATGCATTTCCCCCTGCTTTTCCAAGACATGTCCCTGAGGCTGGTGAACGGAGGGGATGTGTGCTCAGGACGCCTCGAAGTCTTCCACAACGGAAGCTGGGCAACTGTCTGCGATGATGGCTGGGACATGAAGGACGCCACGGTTGTGTGCAGGCAGCTGGGTTGCGGAGATGCTGTCTCAGCCAAAACTGAAGCCTTTTTTGGGGAAGGCACAGGAGATATTCTCCTGGACAACGTGGCATGCAGAGGGGACGAGTCCTCCCTGGAGCAGTGCTCTCACAGGGGGCTGGGCACGCACGACTGCTACCACAAGGAAGACGCTGGTGTTATCTGTGAAGGTACTCACCTTTTCCATTTTATTTAATGTGAATTAAGTTTCCTAAGCCGTGTATGCGTGAAAGGAGGCTGGCACAAGGCTGGAGAACGGGGACCCTTGGCAGTGGCCATGCAGGGAGACGGGAGGCCGATGAGAGCCAAGAAGGATGGCCAGGGGCACCCAGCCCCTGTGGGCTCCATTCATCCTGGGGCTATCTCATCCTTCCAACAAGGGATTCCTCTACCTGGGTCTGGGGAAAGCAGAGAGGGAATAGCAGGGCTGTAGGCATTTACTTCCACAGAGGACCACCAGTAGGTTTTGGCAGACCAACCTGGAATCTGCTTTTGGGACTGTCCTGGTTTCGGCTGGGATAGAGTTCATTTTCTTCCCAGTAGCTGGCAGACTATTTGCCTAAGAGCCTCAAAGTACTTGTGTCAGACTTGCAGTTTTATAAACCTGTTTTCTTCTCTTTATGAATTTGTACTCATTTTCAAAGATCTGCATCATATTTATGTGAAATTTATTGAGGAAAATGAAGAAAATTCCTGCCAGCTGAGGATGCAGAAGGAAATTGTTTTGATGGTGGTTCTGGCACTAGATGAATGTGATGTGTCTGATCAGCATCAGTGTAGGCTGGCAGGCCACTGCATCTTTGTGGACTCAGCTGTTTCTGTCCAAGAGAAAGTGAAAACCTATAGGGAAGTGATGCTGATGCTGTGCTGTCATATTGTATTATAATGATATAATGAATAACAATAGCAGTGAGACTAACTTAGTCCTGAAGAAGTGAATAAGGCTTCTACTACCCCTCTGAAGAGGCCCATATTTTCACTTTGATTTTATTTTTGTTATTTCTTCTGCTCTCCTCTTTTTCTGGTACCATGCACTGATGGTTAGTTGATGGTTACTGACAAATTATAACAATGAATATTTGAGAAACAATTGCAATGAATCTTTGATGTGTTGTACATAAGCTGCAAGCCCCAGAAGAAGCATTTAAGGAGAAATCATGTTCAGACTATCAGCCTGCATTCCTAATTCACTCAGTCCTGCTCAATCCACCATAGTCTGCACACTGCAAACCATTTCTCCTCCGATGTATCAAGAGGCTGTATTGCAGCACGAGCCATACTTGCTTAAACATTTTAGTAATTTACAGAACAAAATGTTTGTTTCCTAACTAACCTTCCCAAGCTGCACGTAGTTTATTTAATTCACAAAGGGGTTCTGGACAGCTCGTCTTCCAGGATCTGGCAGATCTTACAGTGGTGGAGCTACTTCACTGCAAACAGCAATTCATACTGGATTCAGCCTGGGTGAGAAGGCAGGACAGAAATTATACCTGTCCCCACCAGGTTTGCTTCTCTGCCCCACTGTCGACAGGTGTACTCATTGCATGGGGTGGCAGTGAAAATGCCATGGCAGAAACACCAATGGCTAGGCAGAAACACCTGCAGCCTTCTCCAAGGCTTCAGAAAGCATCACCTCAAGTCACAGTTTTGGGGAGAGCCCTGACACTGCTGCTGCTTGTCTCACCTTATAATTGAAAGCATTGATCTGGCTTTCCTTCTTTTGGTGGTTTTTATTTTCTCTCCTGACAGTCCCTCTGGAGCTTACCACACCAGAAGCAACAGGTATAGAGTACTTCAGTGTTCGTTTATGTATCTCAGGTTTAGTCAAATACAACTTATCTCACAGCAGAGTGCTGATTCCCCTGGACTTCAGCAGCACTGAGCTGAAATTCATGCTCTCTCGGAGGTGAGAGCGCCCTTATCTCATCATTAGCCCCAAAGAATTCAAGGCACTCAGGTGAACATGAACTCCCGGTGGGATCTGTGGACAGAGGTGTCCTGCCACACTGAGCTCTTTTGCCTCTGTGGAGATACACACAACCATACACACGGTTTCCATCCACCATCAAGGGCAGTGGAATTACCACAAGCTGGTTTACGCAAATGCCAAATTATGGGGTAAACTGCTGTAATGTAGTTGGATTGGGGATCTCGTTATACCAGGCCTAATTACACCTAAATGATAACATTGCTTTGCTTTGTCAATCTATGCTTTGCTCGCTCAGTATTGGAAAAATTACTGAAGCCTGGTTTTTATTTTCTCTTTGACAGTCCCAACTGAGTCCACGACAGCTGAAACACCAGGTATTTATTTCTGGTCACTTACTGAACCGTGGTGAGCAGAGATACTGTCAGACCATGAAGGACAGCAGGATCCCTGGCTCTCACAGCACTCCCAGACTGAGTCGAGGAATTAACTGTCAGGCACTCACATTTTCAGTCTCAGTTCAGGATATAGTGGACTACCTGCCTTCCTGGCAAGGCAAAGCTGGCTGCCAGAGCCGTGCCCTGTCCAGATGCATTATTTGTTTCCCTACCCAAGCTCAGGGTCTCGCTGTAGGGTTTTCCGGAGGTGACACACACCATTGTGCTGGCTGTGTCACCGCAGGGTGGTGCATGCTACGTTCAGCCACGCAGCCAAGCGCTTCCCGGTTACTCACGTGGCTTCATGTGATATTACAAGCGGCCGAGGCTGCTGCTATGGGTCTTGAGGCAAAAATATAAATATAAAATTTAAATATATTTAAAATGCAGACAATATTTAATTTCATCTTTTCTTTCTCACAGTAACAGTCTCTCCTACTCCTGAACCAGCAGATGTTACCACGTGTAAGTAATACAGTGTTACTCTGGTTTACATGCTTAGCTGCCTGCCCAAGTTGCTATCATGTATTGACTGGCTCCCTGTCTCCACTGTGTGTATAATGTCATGGATCTAACCATTAGCTTCAGGGATAATCCCAGTCACCTCTCCCTTGGCTTCCCAATGAATAGGGGAACCGGGCTTGGTATCGGTACAGGAGAAATACCTGCACTGGTGAAAGCGCTAGGGAAGTGGCAGCCCCTGGGGCAGACACACTACACCAATATAAATTCAGATTTGCACTCGATCATCCCACTCCAAGAAAGCCAGCCTTCCTGCACTTCCCAAAGCTACATCCCCATTGCTGCACGAACTGGGCTGTGCTTCCCACGGGAACGGGCAGGTTCAATGCCCGCTGAGGCAGCAGCATGGACCTCGCCACCATCGGTGCAGTGCATGGCGCTGCTATGGGCACCGCTCATTATAAACCATGGCTTTATCTCATTGTCCCCCGGCATCCAAACTACTGTTTAGCAAATGTCCCCCAGGTTTCCGGGGCCCTTCACACGGCAGGTCAGAAGCCTGTTGGAGGCCATGGCAGAGGCAGCCTGCATGGGGATGTGTTTTCCCATGTGAGGCTGCTCACACTCCGGGCAGACTTGGGGGCAGACTGGGCAGCGGCAGCACGTTCCAGGTGCTGTGGCTGCTCGCCACTCGAATGAGACCTGCAGGTCTCCTGTGGTTCGGGTACCTCACGCCTATCCAGTGCTGAGACAGCGGCTAACCTGCAGGGTTTTTTTTTTCTCTCCTGTCTTGGATCAGCCCCTGCAGAAAACACAACACCTGAAGCAGCAGGTATGTACGACTTTAGCTTTAGTAGAACTGGTCTAATGCTTGATCCTGGGAATAAACTACTGATTCCCTCCCCATTAACAGTCCTTACTTTGCTCACACAGTAATGGAACAGTTGCTGAAGTGTGGCTTTTACTTTCTCTTTGACAGTTCCAACTGAGTCCACAACAGCTGAAAAAACAGGTATTTATTTTTGGTCATTTATTGAACTGTGGTGAGCAGTTTGCTATTTTTCATGTGAGTCATCAATGTATTTAAAGCATGGACAATGTTTAATTTCATATTTTCCCTTCTCACAGTAACAAACTCATCCACTCTATCAGTCTCTCCAACTCCTGAAGCAGCAGCCATTACCACTGGTAAATAATGCAGCATTACTCTGGTTTAACTCCTTAGTTACCTATCAAAGTTGAGATCTGATTTTGTGTTGGCATGGCTCCCTGCCTCCACTGTGTGCATAATCTCATGGATCTAGCAATTAACTTCAGGGATAATTCCTTTGGCTTCCATACAAATCAAGGGATGGAAAATGCTCTTGGTATCGATATGGAAGAAATACCTGCACTGATGAAAGCACTAGGAAAAGGGCAGCTGCTGGAGTAGACACACTACATCAATACAAATTCAGATTTGCTCTAGATCATCTCACTCCTAGAACATCAGTCTCCCTGAACTTCCCAAAGTTGCATCCCCACTGGAATTTGAGTCTGTGGAAATCTTTCTGACATATTCAGTGGCATCTGGTTTGAACCTTAGATAAAGTTTTCTACAATGGGATTTCTCTTTTGAAAAATTTGAATTGCAAGTTCTGCTCATTAACTGAAAATATTCTGCCTCAGATGCTTAGATAGCAGATGAAGGTTTTCTTTTAAAGTCTGGCCCTATCAGCTACATGTTGGTAAAGGGCACTCAGCTGCATCAATAAAACATACATACTTGTGTTGACAACATACAGGAAACTGAACTTCAGATTGAAAGCATGCATTTGAGCATGGGACTACCTGCCTACGCAAAGGAATAAACAGAATTAAATCTGGTTCCCGTTAATGCTAGTAATATGTCATCTTTAGTGTTCAAGCCCGTACACTTTTCTTGATACAAGCCCTTTGTCCATGACAACTCTTTTCCTCAGAACTGTTGCTAACACTTCCTAGTCTTAATGCATTCAGCTGATTACAATGTATATTAATTGATTACATAAAAGCACACATTTTTCTCAGTCAGTCTCTCTTTTTTTCCCCTCCATTAAAAGCCCATCCAAAAACAGACCCAGCACGTATAAGCTCAGGTAAGGTATTCTCATTCTCTTTTTAATGACTTCTCCTCCCAAGTGCAGCATACGCTGGGTAGGAGATGTGAGCTGGGAAAGCCTGGTGGTTTTACGGCAGAGGGTATCTGAGTGCAGAAGAAAGGGCGAAACTGGAAAGGCCGAGAGCAGGCAGAGAGCTTGGGGATGCCACAGCTTACCCAGGGACCACACACCGCTGATACAGCGGCTGGCAGCCAAACCATCCTCAGTGGTAAGCATTAAGGGCATGAGCTGGCCTATGTCTGCCCCATTTATGGAAAAAACACATTTAAAACATCTGCCTGTAGCCTGCCAGTCCGCTGGCCAGTCAGTGCCTGTGTGCTCTGGAGGGCTCGCAGGCAGAGAAACAGCTTGTCATCGCAGCGAGCTCACTCTCTTCCCACGAGAGAATGGACGGACAGTGCTAACTTGTGTAACCTCGGGGCTAGTTGTTGGAGGGAGTAACAAGCTTTTAATGGTACACCATCAAAGAAAGAGAAATGCATTTCCTCTCCACTCAGCTGCTATTTCCAGGTATGGCAGCAAGGCCCACATTTGCATTTGCAAAGCATACTAGTATTTAATACATGCTGCATTTTACTCTATGCTTACATATGGTTTATTAACATCAAATTTCTTCTTCTCCAGCAAACCTTACTTATCTGCCTAAATACATGCGGCTGATGTTACTAAGATTCTTAACTGGCCTGTGCCGACCGAGAAGGCCTGGGATGCAAAGTATAAATTTACAAGGGTAAATATTTATTCATGCGCATGAGGTGTCCCAGCCAAACTGGGGTACCCCCAACATGATTTTACACTGGGTTCTTACA